GCCACCCCATGACGATCAATTAAGACAAAGGCAAAGCCCTGCACCTGGGACAGAACAACCCCATGTGCCAGTATGGGCCGTGGCCAACTGTCTAGAAAGCAAGCTGTGCAAAAAGGGGCCTGGGGGTCCTGGTAGACACCATGGGACCTCGCAGAGATATACCTAAGAGCACCCTGAGCTGCATTAGCAAAATCCTAGCCAGCAGGGAGGGGAGCAATCATTTCCCTCTCTTTCATGCTTGTCAGACCACACCTGGAGCACTTTGGGGCTCCCTGATAGAAGTGGGACACCGACACGCTGGGGTGAGTCCAGTAGAGGCCGCCAAGCCAGTCAGGGCCTGGAGCACAAGGACGCACAAGGAGAGGCTGAGGGAGCTGGCTCTGCTCAGCCTGGACAAGAGTCAGCTTTGGGGTGACCATTCTGTCTGGGCCCTGACTGCGCTGACAGGCTCTGCAGCCTCTTCCCCCTCTCTCCCGGGGGTCTGGCTGCCTGCATTGAAGGTCAGCTCTGATATTGCACTATGAGGAGCCTCAGCTCTTCTACCCTCCCATGCACCTTCTGCGTGCTGGCTCAGGAGCTGCATTTAAGCTTGTGACCTTGCCCTGGGTCCTCACCTGAGCTGCACTGGAAGTCAGCCTGCACTTGGCTTTGTAACCTACTGATCCTGATTTTGTCTCACTGACTTTTCTTCCTGGCTTGCTCTTGAACCTGTCTTGTAGCTATGGACTTGCCCTAGCAAATCACCTCAACTTGGAAAAAGCCTGCTTGCCATCACTGCAGTTCACGTGCTGTGAGCAGTTTGCTTGGGAAGGTAGGCTGGGAGGTATCTGCCTTGTTGCCACCCTGGAGAAGTCTGACAGCATACCCTTGGAAGGTGATTCACCTGATTTTTTTTTTAAATGCAGGCTATACAAATCACCCAGAGGTAACAAATGCTGAACACTATTCAACTCGGAGAACTACCCGTTACTCGTGCAGATTGACTCTGATCAATAGCTTCTGCAGATACTGCATGCTACTACACACACAAATGCGAAAATACACATAGTTTCCCATGTTCAGCCTTCGTTTTTCATCAGCAATTAATACAAGCCATTCAAGTATTGCTCCTTAGAATTTATCTTATAATGTGAATGGCCTTTGCTGTACTTAGATGAGGTCATGACTTCCAAGGTACTTGGGAATTTATCTAAAGTCTCAGCTCAGCTTTGCAAGACCAAGGCTTAAAAAACAGAACTTACTGCAAAAGACACAGAAATTTGTGCAATTTGTGTAAGTTTCATGTCTCAGTCCTGTTTATGCTCTCCAGCATGGGGGCTTTACGTCTGCTGATGGGACAAGTAGAACTTCTGCAAAACTACTGGGGGCTTTCGAAACCAAAATCAGTAAATAAAACCAGCAGGGTTTTGAAACTTGTTCCCTGTAACAGCCATAGCCACTGCTGTCCTTGCAGAACTCTGTTGGATCTGTGCTATCAGCATTTCACCCTCACAAAATTTACGGCGGGGGAGACAGACGCATGCCTGGATGGATTAGCAGTGGCGGGGAGGTCTGCCATCCAGTGGCTTTTTTCCTTACTGCTGAACAGTTACAGCAGCTTTGATCCCCACCGCCTGCTAATTTGGGTTTGTGCCTTCACCTTTGTTGTTACTGTACAAGAGGGCATAACAACAGGGACCTGGCATATTCTCTGCATACCCAAATTCTCAGTGGTTGCAGCTCTGTGCCGTGTTATTGTTGCTGAGTCCTTGTCTGCAAAAACTTTTTTATTTCCCAAAGCTCAGGTTCCCGTTTTCCCATTGTCAGCACGTTACTGCTTTCAACAACTGAAGGCGCGCAGTTGTTTTCAGACGAGGCTCCTCCTAGTTCCAAACTTTTAGCAACGGGGTTTTAAATTAAACTAAAAGGTACTTCATTTTTAAAGTCATTAATTGTGTTCATGCTGTAGAGCAGAAAACCTGTTGCATTTGGGTGGACACACAAGACATTGTTGGGTGTTCCTGTTTCCCGTAATACCAGCGGTGTGGAGGAAGCGCACTGAGTCAGCTGCTTCAAAACACTGCCAGCAGATAAAAAGCCCATTTGCTTTAGGAAGTGCGGCGAGAAGGTGGGGAGACATCCTGCAGCAAACATGTCAGGTCTGTGAAGTTTGTCTAATATTCTTGTAAATAATTCACTGTACCAAAATCTATTTTCCATTAACTGCTGGGATCAGGTTAGCATTGTTCCTCGCAGTTGCTGTTTGTGTGTTTTCCCTCCTGCGAAGGCATGTTTAGGCAACAGATAAATGCAGATTAATTGCAGTCAAACAAACTGCAAGTCAGATAAATTGTAATGGATGCAATCAAAGGATGTTTCTCTTTGATTTTTCCTGTTGATGGTAGCTGTGGAAAAGCAAGCTGGAGCCAGTAAGTAGTGTAGGATTTCTTTTGACTGTCATAGATTTTTTTTTGCTTTGGAATAGAACCCCCACTTTTTGGAGGTGCCTTTCTTCATTGGCTATGTGGGGCAGCCCAAGTCACAAGCTTAGACTAGACTGCTAAGTTTTAGGCAAGCTAAAATTTGAGGAGATGAATTGTGCACCAGCTAGTTCATCTCACAAGCTACGCTGTGGCTTTATGCTAGGATGACAGAGAGGTAATCCTTCCCAGAGCGTACGACACCGTGGCTGCAGCTGCTAGCATGAATGCCTGCGCTAGTATCGAAATGATGCCATGGGTTTCAGTCATGGATCTGAAAACATTTCAACAGCATGTGTCACACACGGCACTGGCCTGACGTTTGGTTGTAAATACTGCTCTTAGGCTGTTTGGAGCGTTATGGGAACATACTGAATGTTGACACAACTGGAGCTTCGGAGGCAACTGCGAAACCGGAAGGTCTGAGCTATGCAGGTGGGCACTAATTCAGTGGTTCATCTCCTCTTACATCCACGCACAAGCTCATGTCTATTACAGATCCCTGTCTCTGGCTGTCAGTCATTGCTATGCGAGCCGATTTTTCCACAACCAACAGCGACCCTACTTGGGCACATAAGTTTGTGTTGGGAATAGAGTTACCTTTGAGATGTTCTAAGGAATATTCAAGACTACCACAGAGAAAATGCAAGATCTGCTGAGTGCATCTAACTCCTGCCATTGAGCCTGAATTTCTCTCTCCCTTAAGAGGGCTTCCGTCATGACCTAAGTTTCTGAACATTTCCTCATTATAGTCCTAAATTAAAAGGAACTAAATCTGGGACTAATCTACCCAAAGGCTTAGATTTAAAACAAGACCCGCCTTTTAGTCTGCACGCTAGAGAACTGCCCTCTGCATTTAAAAAAAACCATCTTTTATATCATCGGTGTATTGATTTCTAAGGGCACTTACCCTTCAGCAAAATTGATCAATTCTATCATTGCTTCTCTCTAAATAGATTCAGAGGGTTCAAAAAGTCAGCTCAGTCATAACGACTGTTGGAACAACTTGTATCTCATTTTAAAAATGAAAGGAAAAGTCATGCACGTTGTGTCGTAGGAGTTCCTGCCTCGGAGAAGATTGCAGAAAAAGATTTGAAGAACATGGAGAAATACAAAGCCAAGATTACAAAAGCTGGCAATAGCAAGTGTGTTGATCCAGCTGTGATTGCTGGTATTATCTCTCGAGAGTCACATGCTGGGACAGTGCTGAAGAACGGCTGGGGTGACCACGAAAATGCATTTGGTTTAATGCAGGTATGGTCAACCTTCTTAAAAACACAAACCTCATCCTTCTTTTGCAGCAGAAAGTCAGAAGAGCAGCAGGGGCCCCGTTGAAAAGCAACCTCCTAAACCTTTTCAAGCAACTCTTTGGCCAGAATAAAGCCAACATTGACCCAGCTGTCAGCTCCCAGCACCAGGAAAGGACCCCAGTGGGTGTCAGGGCATGAGCAGATTGCTTTTGCACTGTGAAACCGCTGCTTGCTTCCCAGCGCTCTCTTGGGAATGAAGAGATTAATTGTTTCTAGTTCATACTTTAGATAATAAATCTTGTTTCAAAAGGCATTTTTTTTAACTAAGCACGGAGGCCTGTAGGCTGCAGCTACATACAGTCAGGTTAATTACTCTTTATGCACCACAGGGGCCTGGCTAGTGGGGGATCTTGCTTCACTATTCATGCCTACATTCATGCCTTGCTTTCTTGCTGAGCTGTATGCTTATCCATACAATCCCTAAACATTTGCTGCATGCACTGGGATCTGCTTTTGTCAGAGCTCCAGCCCCCTCAGACTTGCGCTTTACTGTCCTGTGGATAAGAGGTGGAGAAGAAGGAGAAGAGAAGGAGGAGGGGGAGAAGGGGAAGGAGAAGGAGAAGGAGAAGGAGAAGGAGAAGAAGGAGAACTGGGGTAGAGATCAAGGGGAGATCCCTAGAGGAAACAGGGGTTTTCCCACCCTTGATGCAGCTGGAGAAGAGAGGAGCAGTCATCTTGCAGCTAGAAAAGCTCAAACAGCAGTAAGCCCAGTTTCTGCACCCTGTCACCTTTAGAGCAGCAGCTGTGTTGGGTTTTTAAGGCTCTGACAGACAAGGAGGTGGGGCAGGCATTCCTCTTCAGTGCCCCGACAGTCTGCTATTCATGCGTCTGCTGGCTTCCCCTGCGCCTTCAGCCAAGTTTGCTTCCTCTCTATACAATTGCAAAAGAGGTAAATCATGAGATTAAAGATCAAAATTAATACAAGCAGCCTGTAAGCAATGAAGGAAGAGCTCTGGATAGATAGTGGGGGTTTTGGTGTGCTGATACTGCTCTCTCACTTTCAGGTTGACAAACGGTACCATAAGATTGTCGGGTCATGGGACAGTGAAGAGCACTTAGAGCAAGGCACAGAGATTTTATGTGGGATGGTAAGGGAAATCCAGAAAAAATTCCCAACATGGACAAAGGAACAGCAGCTCAAAGGTAAGAGTTTTGCCAGCTAAGACACTTCACACACATAAAAATGAAGCATGATAATGCTGTAAAACTGAGCACTTCAGAAAACTAAACACATCCCAGTCCCCCTCTGTTCATTTTATTGAGGCGTGGAACAATATTCCTTGACACTCACTAAAAGGAATAGAGAAATAAGCTGTCATTAGCTTTCTAGCAGGCTTTTGGAAAACTTGGCAAATATCATGACATTTTTCAGTTGCAAGGAGTAAGGGTGGGGTTTTCCCCGCCTCTCTCCGTTTCATTTGTTTTGTATTTCTATACCCACCTAAAAAAAGCTACCACCCTGGCAACTCCAAAGAAGGAACACATTAATTTTGAAAATGTATGGTCCTCTCTGAAGGAAGCATGGTTATGTCCTCGAGCACTGATTACAGTTGAAGCCGTCATGGTTGGATCCCTTTATTCCAACTACAATATGTCTGAGGTTACTAACATGGGTAGACATGAAGGAATATGCACAAAAGGCAACAGTCATCACAGAATCACAGAATCACAGAATCGTAAGGGTTGGAAGGGACCTCAGGAGATCATCTAGTCCAACCCCCCTGCTAAAGCAGGCTCACCTAGAGCATGCTACACAGGACTTCATCCAGGCAGGCTTTGAATATCTCCAGAGAAGGAGACTCCACAACCTCCCTGGGCAGCCTGTTCCAGTGCTCTGCCACCCTCAGAGTGAAGAAGTTCTTCCTCATATTCAACTGAAACCTCTCGTGTTTCAGTTTGCATCCATTGCCCCTAGTCCTGTCGCTGGACACCACTGCAAACAGACTGCTTCCGTCCTCTTGACTTCCGCCCTTAAGATATTTGTATGCGTTGATGAGATCCCCTCTCAGTCTTCTCTTCTTCAGGCTGAACAAGCCCAACTCTCTCAGCCTTTCATACACCTGAAGATGTTACATTAGCAAAATGCAGCAAGGGGGCAATGATCACCGAGTCTGGATGTAAAGGAGGAAATTATGATTTCTCCACGCAGTTAAAACGAAAGGAACACCTCAGTGGCAAAACCAGCTGGAAGTGGCAATACAATACTGGTACAAAGATCTGCAAACTAAAGCAACGTATTTAAGCTGTGATTTTTTTATTTGCTTGCTTATTTACTGACAAAGTATCATCTCTGTTTATGTGTTCCTTTCACTCTCATTTCAGGTGGGATTTCAGCCTATAATGCAGGAGCTAACAATGTCCAGAGCTATGACAGGATGGATATCGGCACAACACACAATGACTACGCCAATGATGTGGTTGCAAGAGCCAAGTTTTATAAGAGAAATGGATACTGAGATACCCGAGTAATGATTAGATTTGAGTCACTGATTGCATACTTTGCTTCTAATTTAAAAAATCCTGGATTTCTCCCCCAGAAAGTAAGAATGGGGGAAGGCAATGAAGCCAGAAACAAGTGCAAGGTTTCAGTGGAGGGTTTTTCAGCTAAAGCTAAAAAAATAACTTTAAAAGATAACATCACTAATAATCTAAACTGCAACCTATCTTTTGCCAGTTATTTTTTATCTCACTTCATGAGAATATTCAAGCAGAGCTTTCACCTGTGCTTGCAGTTTCTCAAGCAGCAGATTAATGCTGCAAGAGTTATCACTGCTTAATGAGATTTTGTCTGCCTTAGATTTTATCTGTCAATACATGTGTCTAACAGCAGTACAAAACTGGTTAATACTTTGCAATTTTGGAATTGAATATTTGCAATAAATATTGTATATGTTTAATCTACCAGAAGAGTGTATCTCAGTATATCATAGCCTTTCAGAACAATTGCTCTTCACTTTGATGGTGTGACCTCAAGGTGGCTGTTTCTTGTGACAGGAGGGAAAATACTAAGCTATCCTTCCTTAAGTTTTTTTTTTTTGCCCTTGATACTACTCCATTTTAGCCTTTACAGTTGCAAACAATCTGTAAAACTCAAGCTGCTGTAATGAATACTTTTATTGAAGCTATATATTAGCTTCATTGCAGGGTCTGGGACTAAGAATATGCACATTCCATCATGTTTTTAAAACGGCATATGGTTTATAAAACCTGATGCAAGTTCATGCACAATAAATGGATCCTTTTAATCAATCACATAGTTAAGCTTTTGGGGAGCCTCAGCTTCAGAGTTGTTGGGTTCATTCAGCCATTTCAAGACACAGGGGAGAAAAGTAAGTGATTTAGAGTGGTTAAAAAAAAAAACAAACCTGAAGCATATCACTAGGGGCTAAAGGAGAAATAACAAAGAGCACGTGTGTGTGTGGTTGGTTGGTTGTTTTAAATATGGTGCATTTTTTATAGCTAGTATTTTGTACCTATGATTAAAAATATCCTGATGCTATTAGAATTGTATTGATCTACTCACACTACAGTATTAATTACCAAATCTGAAACAGTAAGTGAATCTGAAACAGTAAGTGAACCTACAACAGAGCAATAGCACAGAAATACAAATTTATTCTTAAAAGGAGGCATTTCTACATTGCTACTACATATTGCACCAAATATTTGTTTGAATATACTTTAATGCTACAGCAGGTTTCTACCCAAGAAGCAAGCTCAACATGAGTCAGCTGCGTGCCCAAGCAGCAAAGGCAGCTAAGGGTACCCTGGGCTGTATGAAGAGAAGGTACAGTTTGACCAAGGGAAGGGATTACATGCCTCTACTGAGCACTTGTTAGACCACATCTAGAGTAGCGTCCAGTGTTGGGCCCCTGACACAAGAAAGAGCAATTAAGTAGAGCGAGGTCAGGAGAGTCACCAAGGTAGCTGGGGCTGGAGCACTTGCCCCATGAGAAAGGACAGCTTCAGGTGGACCTAACAGCAGCCCCACAGTACCTACCTGTGAGGGATAATTGAGCGGATGGAGCCAGGCTGGCTCCTCACGGCAGTGCAAGGTGGGAAGAGACGAGACAACATAGGCTGAAAGAAGAGTTTTGGGTCATTCAGCCTGGAGAAAAGGAGGCTGAGGGGAGACCTTATCGACCTCTACAACTACCTGAAAGGAGGTTGTAGTGAGGTGGGTGTTGGTCTCTTCTACCAGGTAACATAGGACAAGACAGGATGAGGGGAAATGGCCTCAAGTTGCATCAGGCGAGATTTAGATTGGATGTTAGGAAAAAGTTTTTCACTGAAAGGGTCACCAGGCACTGGAACGTGCTGCCCAGGGAGTTGGTTGAGCCCCCATCCCTGCAGGTATTTAAAAGATGTGTAGGTGTGGTGCTTAGGGACATGGTTTAGTTGTGGATTTGGCATTGCTGGGTTAATGGTTGGACTTGATGATCTTAAAGGTCTTTTCCATCCTAAACAATTCTGTGATTCTAAGAGAGGTTCAGAGTGGATACAAAACTGTATTCTGCATATAACCTTCTCCCCATGAGGACAGCCAAGCAGCAGAGCAGGCTGCCCAGAAAGGCTGAGCTGTCCCTGTACTCAGAGGTTTTCAAGACCCAGCCAGACAAAGTCCAGAGCAACCTGGTCTGACCTCAGTGCTGGCCCCACATTGAGCAGGAGGTTGGACTAGAGACCTGTGAGGTACCTTCCATCTGGAATTTCGCTGTCATCTTAAGTCAGCCTGTTTGTTCCCTGCACAAAAAGGCAGTATCTCTTACCTGTGCTTCGTGAAGATTTACATGAAACATTTGCCATGCTCCATTAATTAAAGGATGCGGACACACCTTGTGTTTCTGCACCCTGTTAGTTCAGGTTTTAGACCCAACAGCAAATCTTTAGAGAACGGATGCTTATACAGAGGTTTGGGTTAGCAGGTCAACTGCATGACAGTTGTGACCTTGGTGGAAATACCATTTCAGAAACACCCAAACCTACAAATATATATTTAAAAAATTTAAGAAAATACAATTTCCTTTCTCATGAAAGCTGACAGCTTGTCAATTAAAGACAGCTGTAAACACCTCTTGTAGCTAAATCTTACCCAGAAATAACAGGTACTGCCTAAAGCATTTTCCCTTTTCCGTACTTGAGAAGCAGTTATTAGCTCTGCTCTAACTTCGGTAGTTTATCACACACTTTTTAAGTTGCACACAGTACCAAGCAAGCTTGTTCATTAACACATTATTTTGAGTTTACATTGTAGTACTTTTGAAGGTTGTAGCATCTGTGTAGCGTAATGAACAGAAGAACCATATTCATACACATACTGTTTATGACAGAACTGGCAGCACTCCCTCTGTTGGAGATTCACCAAGTTCCAGCGCCTCAGACACAAATCCTGAAAGTGCTTGGTAAGGTTGAGCTATCCTGGCTTTGGTGCTCTGGGTCACCAAGTCTGGTACAGGACTTGTATTTGCTATCCCTCAGCAACAAGACCCATTTGCCTAACTTTCTGGGCCATAGTACTTGTGCCATCTCATTTAAGAGTTCCTCTACCTTGGATGCACTACACACATCCTTCAAAAGGGCTGAAGTTTCAGCTTTACTAAGTATCTCCCCGTGGGAACACGCTCAACACCACACAGAGAATGCAGTTATAACACGCTGCAGCACAAGGTACTATGCAGATATTGGAAGAAAAGAGGAAGGGAAGAAAAGCAACATTCATTTAGCTGCTTCACTTTTTCCTTGCTATTCTATATACTTCAGACTGACACCAGCATTTCCTGTGTCCTTCTGACTACCGCCTCTACCTTGTTGAAAAATAGAGGTTTTTCAGCTCAATTTTGCGTTTCTGCCTTTAGCCTGTTCATAGGAGCCATTACAGTCTTCAGTGCTGCTACAACAGCCTATCCTTCTTTCTCCTGCACACAGTGTCTCCAGCTTTTACATCCCTCTACTGATATGTCTATTCCTTTGAACTCCTACTGGTGTTTACTCTTCTCTGCAAGCATGCAGAAAAGATAAACAGTCATTTTCAGCGACTGTATCCCTCTGATCTTCTCACAATATACAGTCATTAAGATTAACTCCTCTGAAGTGTGTCTAGTGTGGGAGAGGCTCGCAGTGTGTTAAACTACGGGATTTATGCTCCCTGGAATGAAAACTACTTTATCATTTGAAACAGCAGCGGCTTCCTAATTTTGGCAACAATTCTTAAAACTACTGTAAATAAAAATATGCACGCGGTACTATTCAAGATCCTTCAGTAAAAGGTGTTATTTTTTAAGCTTGCAGCCCATAATTACTAACTTGTATCAAAGAGGTATGCTTCAGGATCTCCAGGTTTCTAAAGTTTGCAATTTTAGAACAGGAAAAGCACCAACTTTCACATAGACTGCAGCTCTTAGGTTGCTATTATTATTAAACGTTTAGGATTAAGAAACAATGTGTGAAGCAAGATTGGATGTTTCCTGAAAGACAAATTATACAACCTACCAACACGTGAATCACTCCTTCTGTTACTCCCAAATAGGGCGTTCGGGTACTTCTTAAGGTACAGAGGAGGCCAGATAACAGACTGTTTGCTAAGGAACAAGTGTGAGATCTGGATGACCAAGGTAAGTCACCCAAACGCCTGCCAAACGACACTCTCAGTGGATAGCCAGGTGATTCTTGTGTAACTGGTAAATAGAGGGGTTTCAAATTCTAGTTCCTTCCTTCACACAGTCAAGGTGAAGTCATGCACCATCATAGTTAAATCTTTACTGTTACCTGGGAAACATCCTCACCATAATTAGGTTAGATCTATTCTACCTACTTCTATGCTTATCTGACTTCATTAAGTTCTCCAATAGCTAGCCATAAACTGCAGTAATCTAGCCACAAAGTTAAAACACAAGGAAAGAAAGCCTATAATTCATTTAATAATTTCAGGCAAACATTATCAATATTGAATTTTGTATTTGTACACGTGTAATCCTTCTTTAAGCATCATTGTCAACCATGTAAGCTTAATTCTTACCCTGTCTGGTATGAGTGACATTTCATACACAAACTCTTAACTCAGGAGTTAAATTATTTATTTTATAGAACATAAACCCTAACAGCACACCTTACGACTTTATTTCTTTCTGCTCCACAGGTTTCAGATGCCGTTTAATGACAAGCTCTCCCTTGCTTGAAAGAAAGGTGTCCGACATTTCCTCTTCTGTTGGCAATCCGTAAGGTAGTTTCAGTGGCTGTATCCTACAGGCAAAAGAGTTTGCTTAGTGAAGTCCTAGGACTAGAAAAGAATTACATTAAGTGTTCCAAATGAAATAAATACTTAACAAACCTTATCAGGTGCTTAATAACTTTCAGTCTGGAATTCACAGCAGGGATATTTTTGTGCAGTCTTGGCTGATGTGCCTATATAAAGGATAGAATAGGTTTAACAAATGCGTTGCCAAAACCCTAATCTCTGTTCACTGAGGTTTTCACACTATCAGTAAAAATATAAGCCTCATTTGCAAATAGAAGATTTAGAGAAATGTCATGCATCAAGAACATACATAATAATATGAAATCAAAACTTGATCAAATTCGATCCCAGTAAAATGACAAATTCACCTTTATTCCCATTACATTATCAGTATATTCAAATTTCTTCCAACTGTTAAAAATACTGTAAGTGTAAATACAGGAGTTTGGAGGCAAGAGTGCAGATGGCCAAAAAAAATATGTATAAACATCTCCGACACAAAATCTTAAGAGTCTTGGATTTGGAAGCCTTTTCATTAATAAACAAGTCTTATTTACCTACCTGTGATATCAGAATAATACGACCCACAGAGAAACCTGAATTTGAAGTATTTACGAATCTATTTTTATTATTTTAGCAGAATTCTCAAGGTAAAGTTCTCCTCAGGCATGCAGAGCAATACCATACAGTGATATTCTGAATTCCCATTAAAAGGGCATTTGCATTAATGTTCCTCTCACCTCTTAAACACATCATCGATTTCTCAATTACATTTATAGCAGCTGTAAAGCAATCCAAGTTTTGTGACTGCAAAATTGAGGTCCTTAAAAAAAACCCCACCACCTTAGTTTTACCCTGTGCTTCTACATTTCTTATGTACACAATAAGTATAAAGAAAAACAAATCATACTTTATCCAGTCCAAGATCACGTACTATCTTCTTTTCCCAATACGGTCGACCAACTACGCTTTTTATTCTAGTAACAACGTGGATTTTATGGGGTTGCTCAGGGTCACCTCCATACTTTTCATGATCTCCAGGCCGCGGCTGAAATACCTAGAATCAGAAGTTCACAAAACCAGTTTGTTTTTTTTCCTAAATATCTGAATTATTATTATAGTTAACAAAATAACTCTCTAAAACATACTTCAACCTCAGTAAAAATTCTTAAATATTTAAATATCTGTCTTTTCAGAAGACCAAAGCATCAACAAGTGACCTCAAATTTCACTTTTATAACATTAAGTCAAACATATTTTTATAATGGTTTGCTAATGAATACATTAACTCTTGAGTTTGGCTGTACAACTGCATAGAAATACATGGACAACACTGTACACCAGCACAGCACTCACTTAATTCACATGAATTTCATTGAAGAAACTCTGCTTAGCCTCTGGATAGTTTAAGGCTTTAAGAATGACTTTAAGGAAAAGAGTCAACTGACACTAGACAGTATCTTGCAGAAAGATAAGCTAAAAATGTAAGCGTGAAAATGTACAATGTAAGTAAAACTTCTCATCTCTTTGGTTTTAGTTATTTATTGAATAGAATAGACTATTTCAGTTGGAAGGGACATACAGCTATCATCCAGACCAACTGCCTGACCAGTTCAGGGCTGACCAAAAGTTAAAGCCTGTTGTTAAGGGCATTGTCCAAATGCCTCTTAAACACTGACAGGCACGAGGCATCCATCACCTCTCTAGGAAGCCTGTTCCAGTGTTTGACCACCCTCTCAGTAAAGAAATGCCAGGTCTAAACCTGCCCGGGTGCAGCTTTGAACCATTCCCACGTGCCCTGTCTCTGGATCCCAGGGAGAAGAGCTCAGCACCTCCCTCTCCACGCCCCATCCTCAGAAAGCTGTAGAGAGCAATAAAGTTGCCCCTCAGCCTCCTTTCCTCCAAACTAGACAACCCCAAAGTCCTCAGTGGCTCCTCCCAGGACATGCCTTCCAGCCCCTTCACCAGCTTTGTTGCCCTCCTCTGGGCGCATTCAGGGACCTGAACATCCTTCTTAAACAGTGGGGCCCAGAAGTGCACACAGCACTTGAGGTGAGGCCGCACCAGCGCTGAATACAACAGGATAACGACCCCTTTTGACCAGCTGGTTGTGCTGTGTTTGATGCACCTCAGTATTGTGTTTGATTGCCCTCTTGGCTGCCAGGGCATGCCGCTGACTCCTGTTGAGCCTACAGTCGACCAGCACCCCCAGATCCCTTCCTGCAAGGCAGCTCTCCAGCCACTCCTCTCCTGGTTTATACTTGTGCCCAGCATTACCCCATCCTTAGTGCAGAATCCGGCATTTGGACTCATTAAATTTCATGCCACTGATGATTGCCCAATGCTCCAATCTATCTAGGTCCCTCTGCAAGGCCTCCCATCGCTTGAGAGAGCCGACAGCACCTGCCAGTTTGGTATAATCAGCAAACTGATGCATTCAACTCCTGCATGAAGATCATTGATAAAGATACTGAACAGAACTGGCCCTGATGAACACCACTGGTGACCGGTCACCAGCCAGTCAGCTGTAGCCCCATTCCCTACAACGCTGTGGGCCCTGCCCTTCAGCCAGTTCTTCACCCAGCGCACCACGAACCTGCTCACCTCACAGCCTCTAGAAGTCTACCATACCACAGAAAGCACAGAACTAAGCAGGCTAACATCTGTTTTCCAGTTTCGCATTTACTGTAACACATACCGAGCCTGGAATTCTCGACCTGGTAAAGAGACAACGAACCCACGCTGTGGACGCCATCCCCTCCATCCTCTTCCCCAGCATCTGCAAAGAGAGCAGGATGTAACTTGTCGGGACTTTCCTTATAGCTCTTAATACTTGCAAACAGATCACACAGCCACTCAAACTCCGGCCGGGTGAGCACGCACCCCGTGTATCACATCTCCGGGCGGCTGAAGAGCAGACCGCACGGGCACCGGGCGCCCGCAGGCGCCTCGGCCTTTCCAGCGGCCGCCCCCCCCTCTCCGGG